CAAGGAACTGTGGAAAGATGTCCCTTTCTCACGCCAAGATGAAGGCCCTGGCTGGGCAGCTCAGTTGGCCAGAGCATCTTCTGGACACACTAAGGTTGCGAGTTGGATCCCCGGTCAGGGTACATACAAGAAGCAGCCGAAGCATAAATAAGTGGAACAACAAATCAGGGTTCCTTCTCTCTCTCTCTCCCTCTTGGTCCCCCCCACACACACACACACAAACTTCTCTCAAAAAAACCACCAATAAATAAAAATTAAAAACAAGACAAAGATGAAGGCTACACTCCCCAGCTGTCTCCCAGCTGCTCTGCAGGGCAGCTCCCCACGCTCACCGAGCAGCGGAAGCCTCCCCGGGGAGTGCTGGGAGGTCAGACAGGAGGTCAGTGTCGCCCACTGGGGTCAGGACAGTCCTTCAGGGCAGGATGCTGAAGACCCAGAGAAACGTCTGCTGAAGCCAAGAACAGACGCCTTTTCTTTCGCGGGACATGGAGCTACCCCGCCTCCCCCGTCCCTGACCTTAGGCTGCAGCTCTCCAAACCCACTCTCCCCCACACAACGGGGGAGTCAGGGGTGCCACCTTCCCAACTTTGCTCTGAGAACAAAGATAAGGGAGAACTCAGCTCCTCCCTTCAGCTGCTGCCGCTGCGAAAACCTCTGAGTCGCTGATCCCTCCCAAGCGGGGACCACAGTCCATAGTCCTGGGGCTTTATCAGCGACTGCCTCCCTGGCATGTAGCAGGCGACACAGCCGGAGGCTCCGCGGCCTGTCTGTCTGACCGGAGCACCCTGCTCTCTCCCCATCTGCTCCTGCAGGACCAGGGAATGTGGGATTATCAGGCAGAAGAATTCTTTGTGTCTTAAGTCCCAATCTAAATGGCTACTCTTTGCGGGCAGAAACATGTCTATCATGACACTGCCTGGTCATAATCATTGGAAAAGAGTGGTCCAGGACAGAAGGGGCTGGCACAAAATACTCAAAGTGATGAAAAGCAAGGACCTACAACCACGATGACTCTACCCAGCAAGGCTATTATTTAGAATTGACGGAGAGAGAAAGAACTTCCCAAATAGCCTGGCCAGCGTCGCTCAGTGGCTGAACACTGACCTATGAACCAGGAGGTCACAGTTCGATTCCAGTCAAGGCACATACCTGCATTGCAGGTTCCGTCCCTAGCCCCAGTCAGAGTGCATGTGGGAGGTAACCAATTGATATGGCATTCTTTCATCGATGTGTGTATTTTTTCCTCTCTCCCTCTCGCCCTTCCACTCGTCCTAAAAATCAATAGAAAAATACCCTCAATTAAGGATTAGCAAAAAAAAAAAGAAAATGGCAACAGCTACATACCTATGAAATGTAAACGGATGAAATGCTCTAATCGAGACACAAATGGCCCAGGTGGTGTGGCCCAGTGGTTAAGCATCAACCTACGAACCAGGAGGTCACGGTTCAATTCCCAGTCAGAGCACATGCCTGGGTTGTGGGCTTGTTCCCCAGTAGGAGGCATGCAGGAGGCAGCCGATCAATGATTCTTTCTCATCTTTGATGTTTCTATCTCTCTCTCCCTCTCCCTTCCTCTCTGAAATCAATAAAAAAATATTTAAAAAAACACACAATATAAACGAACAAAAGAGAGAGGAGCTCATAGACACAGAACAAATTGATGGCTGCCAGATGGGAGGGGGGTTGAGGGGCTGGGTGAAAAACGTGAAGGGACTGAGAAGCACACATGGGTAGTTACAAAGCCTTCATAGGATGTAAAGCGCAGCGTAAGGAACGTAGTCAATCATGTAACTGGTATCGTGCCAGGTGGTGCGAGACGCATGGAGGGGCGATCACTTTGTAAGCTACATAAATGTCTAACATGCTGTGCACTCGAAGCTAATACACTATTAAATGCCAACTGCCATTGAAATTTTGTCTTAATTAAAAGAAAAAGCCAGCCGGGGACAGAGTTTAGTGGTGAACAGAGTCAGATGGCTAAGGGATTGCAAGATCAGACCTGCACGTCTCCACGGGGCAGCCCCGAGAAGATAAGGGTGATTCCATGGAAAGCGTTTCGGGGGTGGGTACAGGAGAAGCTGACCGCAGGCAGTGGAATGAGGAAGAGGGTGAGGACGTGGACACAGATCACAAAACGGTGTACAGGGGTGAGGAACACTTGAGCATGCTCATTTCGTGACGGGAAGAATCAGTGGAGAGGGAGGGGGAGGGAAGAGAGGACAGGGGGTGGAGGAGGTGGGGGAGTAGAGGAGCCAGAGCACAAACAGGGGGGCCCAGGCTTTGCTTCTGCCCAGTGACACTTGTAGGTGACAGGACGCTGAAGCAGCCGTTTTCCTCTGGGAAGTGGAGGCAGAACCATCTGCTGAGAGAAGGGGAGGAACGGGTGGGAGGGAGCGGAGGAGAGCGGACGGTGAGGAGTCAGCAGGGGGTCGGAGAATGAAAGTCCCTGGGCTGTTCCTGGGCAGAGTGGCTCATGTCAGACCACAGGCTGTGAGCTGGGCTGGGGAGGAGGTAAGAGCCCACACCCAGGAGCTGGCGACCAGAAGGCCAGGCAGGAGGCCGTGCCGGGAGCACAGGTGAAGGCGCAAGGAGGACGTGGAGGGTCAAACGCTGGAGTGTGACATTTCAGACGTGGAGCTGCTCCCGGGGCCGTGGATGTCCGTGTGTTACAATAGGGGTGGGGAGGTGAGGGAAGGGAGAGTTACAGTCAGAATGAGGAAGGACCAAGCCAGGGCGTCAGGCAGACTTCTCACCGCAGTCGGAGAAGGCACTGGGGTGATGGTGGGGGGGGGACCGGAGACGGTCGGACCGGAGCCCAAGTCCTCAGTGAAAGAATTAGCAGACCAAGGGAAGAACACGGGAATCTGAGTGGCAGGAGGCCCAGAGGAAGCATCTTTGTACAGAGATGGAAGGAAAATGTCTAGATGTGGCCATGAGCATAAAAGTAATGCTGCCCCCACCTGGCTGGCGTAGCTCAGTGGTTGAGCCTCCACCTAATGAACCAGGAGGTCATGCTCGATTCTGAGTCGGGGCACATGCCCGGGTTGCAGGCTCGTTTCCCAGCAGGGAGTGTGCAGGAGGCAGCAGATCGATGATGTTTCCATCCCTCTCTCCATCTCCCTTCCTCTGTGAAATCAATAAAAATATATTTTTAAAGATTTTTCTGCAGTCTTGCTTATACTATTCAGGTCCCTTGATAGTCACATCTATGAAAAGCCAGGAAGATGTGAGTCTGTGAGGCTGATACTAATGGATAAGGGATGGGGTAAAAGCAAAAAAACAAACAAAAAACAACAAAAACGTAAAATATTTACCTGGTACTTCCCCTGCACAGACCCACCCACTTGGCACGTATTACAAAGGAAAGGTTGGCTTGTGTTTGAGAAAGGGACCAGTTCAAGGTCCAAGGCACGAACACACAGTCCCTGTGATGTGCCTCTTGGCCCCGCCCACTGCCCCCTCGTCCAGCTGAACTGGAGTCTGGGAGGTGTGCTAACAGAGGGGCTCACCCCACCAGCCAGACTGTCTTCTCCCCTCAGCCCAGATCCACCCATCCCGTTCCTGCCTGTCTGACCTGGGCACCCTGGTTCAAGAAAAGGTTTCTCTCTTCACATGGACCATGTCTTGATTACACATCAGAAAAGAAACAAGTCACACATTTCTCAGAAACTGAAATTTTATAAAAAGGCCTTTTTCTCTTATATCCATAAAATGATATAATTTTTCCAAGTATAGAAATATGTCATAAATTATACAGAATGTTCCTTAATTACAGTTCAATGCAACTTGGTACTTTCCTCCCTCCCTAAAAAATGAGAGAGAACCAAAAAAATAATATATAACTGTATATATATATATAGATAAATTTATATTTATATAATAGACAAACCAAATATGAAAAAAAATCATTTCCTCTTTGGTATAAAAATCAGACTCTCACCTTGAGACACACAAACAGACATGATGTTGGGTTTGTAAACGGTGTGGCCCTAAGGGATTTCCCTGTCGAGCTCCCGCCCCCATCGGAGGCCCACCCACCCTGCCTCACCGCAGCCCCGTGGGGCTCCACGTAATGGAATGTCCAAGGTCTCTGTACCCCACGCCCAGCCCGCACCATTCCTGAGGACCCCCTCCACCAGAGACGAGGAAAGGATTCTTCCCACGATGAATGGAGGAAGGAGAGGTGCCGAGGCTGCCACCAGCCCCGTTGGGGCCCCTGTTTGCCCGAAGGGAGAAGCACAGGCCAGCTTCCCCTTTCAGGGCCCCTCAGGTCCTGGGGTACAGGTGCAGGAAAATGCCAGATGAGGCGGGAGAAGGGAGTCAGAGGGGCTCTGCTAATGGACTTGAGTCTACATTTAAAATGAAACAAAATCTTTTTCTAGGACTAAACTTCATACCCAGCTCTTGGACGGAGAATGACAGGGCCACTGTCCCAGGCTCCAGCCCAAGGCCAGCAGGACTGAGGAAACCGCGAGTTGATATGTGAGTGTGTTGGGGGAGGGGGCAGCTCTTCACTCCCAAGGTGAGGCAGGAGACCGGCCCAAACCCTCCTCTCTTCTTCAGGCACCCTCTGGCTAACAGGCACCTCCCTCCTGGTCAGCCTCACCGCCCTCAGCCCCTGGAGGGCCCGCCCAGAACTGCAGCTCCTCCCAAACCACTCCACACTGCCAGGTGGGCACCCGTGTGCGCCAGCCTCCTCTGTTCCAGGAGAGTTAAGACACCGACCACAACATAGAAGTCACTTAGAGGCCTCCTCCACTTGCCAAATAAAAAAGACAAAACCAACTAGACACAAACACAAACCAAGGAGAGACATACCCGACGTGAGGGGCCCAGAGGCCCCAACCGGTCTCTGGCTTCCCGGCATGATACATTCGTATGTAATTCAGGAGCAGGGCCTCGAGGGCCCCTGGGGACGGGGAGTAGAAAAATACAGAGACTCGAGTCTCCCTGTGGGCTCCCAGGCAAGGCAGGGGCAGACCCAATCTCTCAGTTTCTTCTGTTTTTGGTTCCACATCTGGTCCCCCCAGGGCTGGTTCCAGATGCCAAGCCCCGACTCTGCTCGAGGCCTGCCCCTCCACCCTCCCAGCTGGCGGGAGGGCCCCTGGCTGGAATGTCCCAGACGCTTCTGGTGGGGCCAGCAGGACAGAGTCCACCAGGGGAGATGCCTGGGAGAGGCAAGGCAGGAGGACCTGCAGCTACGACACGGTCCTCTCGGTGGCCGGCCCGCCCTGTGAACTCTGATCACTGGCACGGGGCAGAGAGGTCCCAGCCCTCACCCCTTGAGGGGCTTGTCGGCGCCCCCACTGGGACTGCTGGCGCTGTCACTCTTCTTCCTGCGCAGGCTCTCGATCCAGCTGGAGCTGGAGCGGGTGGTAAAGCTGGAGAGCGCCAGGGAGCTGAGCCGCATGTTCTTGCCCGACATGATGAGCTCCCCGAAGCCCTCCTGGTGGGAGAAGGCGTAGCCGGAGCGCCGGGACCCCGTGCGGCCCACCCGCCGCATGCAGCGGTGCTGGGCCTTCTGCTTCTTCCTCACCAGCTGGGTGTAGCGGACCTGGCGGGAGGGGGGGGGCAGGAGGAAGGAGCGGCCGTCAGTGTGGCTGCGTCAGACACCACCACTGAGAAGGGACCCAGAGCCCCCAGGACAGGACAGTCTGGGGACCACCACCGACACGTGAGGCACGAAGCCCAAAGCCGCAGCTGCGTGCGTGTGTATGCCAGAAGGGCTTCCAGGCAGCCAGCTGCTCACCGTGTCGGAGAGGTCGGGCTTCAGGTTCAGCTTGAGGAATCGGAAAGCGACCACAGGCAGGATGCAGACGACCGTGGTGAGCGCGATGGTCAGCCACACCGTGGGCTGGGCCAGGGTGTTCTGCGCGTTACCTGAGAACGCAGAGGAGTCAGGGGCCCTGGGAGTCACAGGGTGGACGCCCGCCCCCACCCCCCAGGCTCACAGCCTAAGTCATCCTGGCTTCCGGCTCCGCCCTGCTCCCCATAGAGGTAGCTCCAAATTTGACTCTCGCTCCAAACTCCCCCCAAAACTTCAGGCCTGTTTCTCTAATGGCCTTAGTTGACGTCACTGTTGAACCTCTAATGGGCATCTCCGTTTCTAACGGCCAAAAGTGAGCTATCGTTCCCTCCACCCCAACCTGCTCCATGTGCCCCGCTCCAGAAAGGCCACCTCCCATTCCGCTGCCACCACAAAAGCCCAGGAGCCAACTCTGACTTCTCCCGCACACTGCTCCTCCCATCTGTCGGCTCTACTCCCAAAATGCCCATGGCTCCTGCCACTGTTCGCTGTACTGCCAGCCACCACTGCCCTCACCCGATTACTGCTGGCGCCGCCTTTCCCTCTCCACTTTATCACAGTAAGAGTGATCCTTTAAAACGTGTCAGCTTATGTATCTATTAACTTATAAACCGTGTGTCTCTCTCACTGAAATGTGAAACCCAGGATTCTGCCTGTTTTGTTAACTGCTGCATCCCCAGCATCCAGAATAGGGGCTGACCGAAGGCCCACTGGCGAGTAAATGAAAAGATCTCAAGAAAATGCCAAAAGTGCAAATGCATCTTTCACCTCCTGCCTCCCAACCAGCCCGTTTGCCACCCACCACAGCCACTTTGTCCCCGGTTCTGAACAGCCGCACACTCAGTCCCTGCAGTAGCTTCCTCAGTGGCCACCACTGCGATTCATCTTTCTGACGTAATCCCTCGCTGTCATTCCCCACTCTCTCCTCCTCAAAAAACAAAAAGCCCCGGCCAGCTTGTCTCAGTGGGCTCAGCGCTGGCCTGTGGACCGAAGGGCTCCAGCTTCGATTCCCATCAAGGGCACGTACCTGGCTTGCAGGCTCCTCCCCGGCCAGGCCCTGGGCAGGAGGCAATCAATCGATGTGTTTCTCTCACATCGATATTTCTCTGTCTTTCCCTCTCTCTTCCACTCTCTCTAAAAATCAATGGAAAAATATCTTCGGGTGAGGATTAGAAATAAAAATAATAACAATTATTCTAATAATTTAAGAAAAAAAAAGGCTCCTGGCACGTCAGATGCAAACCTGACAGCCTGGCATTCTGACGCTTGAATGTCCGACCGTCCACGGCCTCTCTTCCACTGTTCTCAGTGGGGGTTCCCCGCCGCCCTGGCTGGGGCTCTCTCCCTGCCCGAGAAACAAGCGGCCCTTTCACACTTCCAGCTCCCTGACTTGGAACCCGACTCCCCGATCCTGGCACCGCTCACAGCAGCCTCCTGTGTGGGACTCTCCCTGACCACCCCACAGGCAGTCACTCTGCTGACCATGACGCCTGCCAGCCCTTGTCCCCCTTCGGGCCTGACCGCGTACAGCCTAGCAGGGCTGTGCTTCACGTTCATGGGCATGGAGCCTCTGAGGGCAGCACCGGGGTCAGACACACCCCGCCTTCCCCTAGCACCTTGTAGACCTGGTACCTGAGGAGCACCCAGTCACTGCTCGCGGAGCGCAGATGGCTACCTGCCCTGTGAGTCCCAGGACAGTCGTGACACCCCAGTGATTCCGGGGGAAGCCAGAGACTCACCCACAAACCGGAACTGGTTGGGAAACATGTCGAAGAGCCCGTTGCTGTGCATGGCAAAGAGAATGGCAAAGTAAACAGCCACGCTGCCCCAGATGAAGAAGTGGTTGATGGCCGTCCAGTAGCCCGTATCCAGCCCAATCTGCAACAAGCAGGAGCTGTCACAGGCAGAAGGAGGAGCACCCCAAAACCTGTCCCTTCCCAGAAACAGAACTGCCGTGCCCAGGGCGGCCCCAGGACAGGAGGCTCACTCCTTCCAGAGGTGAGGGCGGGTCCCCAACTGCCTCTGACCTGCACGCTGACCACAATGACCAGTGACGTGGCCACGGTGACTGCAAAGGACTGGTAGTCGGCCAGCTGGGTGCCGTCGGCCCGGGCGGCCTCAGCCAACACCCCGTAGGGGACGAAGAACATGAGGACGGAGGTGTAGATGCCCTGGGCGATGCAGATGAAGAATTCCCGCTTGTTGAAGAGGAGGTTTAACTGGCCCGGCTCGTACAGCTTAGGGTACTCCATGCTCCGCTGCTCGGGGACGTCCTGTGTGGGGAGCCCAGGTCACACACGAGGCCTCAGCAGCGCCATTCTGACTGGGCAGACTCTGTCCCTGCCTCCTGCTTTCTAAGTTCTTTGGCACAAGAGCTAACTTCCAGCCAACTGCCCCCGATCAGTCTTTGCTCAGCCACCCAGGGGAGTCACAGGTCAGCGGTGGCTGAGAGGAAGAACACTCCGCCAGCTGGGAAAAGGCCGTGCCAGGGCCACAGGCAGAGGGCACACGTCACACGCCCATGACTGTCAGCGTGACTCCTCACAGCAATGTCTCTCTCCCCATCCTGCGTGATCATCACACTCCCCGTACCTGATCGAAGACCCCCATGGCCAGGACTGGGAGGGAGGTATACACAATGTTGTAAAGGGTGATGAAATACTGGTCATAGACGGTCTGGAAAGAAAACGGGGAGAGAGAGGAAAGAATATGTCACCCTTCTTCACTACAAACCAGGCAGAGGAAAACGGCGATGTGGTGTATATGGAGCCCCAAGGAATTTTCTGGAAGTCGCGCCCACTCCTTCAATAAGCATTTTTTAAATGCATGAACCAGAAAAAGCTAGGCCCTAAGGGATTAAGCTTTGAACAGAACAGATACAATCTCTGCCCTAAGGAACGTACAGACAGACACGCCAGTGGACTACGAGCTCACTACCTGGGCTGAGAAGCCGCAGAAGAAGCCAAACCAGAAGTGGACCATGGTGAAAGCAAAGTTCTTGTAGAAGAAATAGCAGAGGAACTTGCACATGCGCAGGTAGGACCAGCGCCCGTGCACCAGCAGGAGGCGCTGCAGAAACTTGAACTGGGAGAAGGCGTAATCTGAGGCCAGGACAGCCTGGATCCCTTCTTGCCCGCTGATGCCCACACCAATGTGAGCCGCTGCAGAGACAAGAGGGGACACGAGGGTGAAGATGGCCACACACCTGAGAATCCCACCAACTCAGAGCCCCGTCCCCCCTTAGTCTTCCTTGGTCCCCAACCTCAGGGGCCCCTCCCTCCACCTTCCCACCCAACCTACACATCTACACACGACACTCACTTTTGATCATGCTGACATCATTGGCTCCATCCCCAATGGCAAGCGTCACGGCCTTCTTGTACTTCTTCACCAGTTCCACCACCTGCGCCTTCTGCAAGGGCGTCACCCGGCAGCAGATGACAGCTTTGCAGGCACAGGCCGTCTCCAAAAACTCCAGCTCCATGTCGGCCTCCAACGCATGGGCCTGCGACACAGAGAGCCTGAGGGGCCCTGTCTTCCCCAGGAGAGACCTGGGCGTCAGCCTCGCCCCGTCCCCTTAAAGACCACAGCCCCCCAAAGTCGAGGGAAATCAAAACAAGGTAAGACCTAAACGCCATTCGGAGAGAAGTGCTCTCTGGAAAAACACTGCCCAAACTAAGGATGGCGACACTCACCAGACTGTGTCCATTGATGACCAAGGCGTACTCCCCGGCCACGGCCTCCAGGACAGAGGTGAGCTTGGGGGAGGAAGGGTTCCCGTGGTAGGTGAAGCCGTTGCCGACGGTGCGGGACGGGTCCACCATCTTCTCCCGCGCCTTCCTGCGGAGGGATAACGGGACCGTGGTCACCCTGGACAGGAGCCGGGATTCCGGCCCAATCAGGGTCCAGGAAGGACTGCCCGACCCATGTTCACAACATGGGGCACCCGCCGGCTCGGGCCCGTTTACCTGAGCTCCTCCCGCACCTCCAGGACGGTGTGGCCAGTGACCACGAACACCTCGGACATGTCGTCCGTCAGCATCTTGCAGGAATAGCCAATGTTCACAGCCGTCTCTACCAAGAGAGAACGCAGGAGCTACGAGCAGGCCCCCAACAAAGTCAGCGCCTCTCCCGCCTGACGTCCTGGGCTCATGCAGGACCCGAGGGGCTGCCGTCCAGATGCCACCGCCTCTGCCCACTGGGCTCTCACCCTGTTTGTCCCCGGTGAGCACCCAGATCTTGATGTTGGCCAGTGTCAGGAGGGCTATGGTCTCCGGAACCCCTTGCTGAAGCTTGTCCTCAATGGCCGTTGCGCCCAGCAGCTGAAATACCACAAGGGTCCCTGGCACGAGTCCCAGACCGAGCCTCCCTGGCTCACCCTTGGCCCCGTCCGTAGCCCGTACCATCATGTCGCTCTCAATCTCCTCGTACACGCTGGCCAGCCTGTCCTCCCGGCTGTCCTGGGCCAGGCTGGCCTGGAGCCGCCTGTCCGCCCACTCCTCGTAGTGCTCTTCGTCCAGGTCCTTGTAGGCCAGCACCAGGGTCCTCAGCCCTTCCCCTGCATATTCCTGCAGGCAGAGTCAAGAACGTCACCCCTCGCCCCCCCTCCACACGGCGAGTAGTAGAGCCGCGGGGTCCGTCCTCGCCTCACATTCAGGTGGTCGGTGGTGCTGTTGAGCAGCTCCTGGGTGGAGGGGTGGAGCCTGTCCAGCAGGATCGTGTCAGCCCCTTTGCAGTACAGTCGGATCTTCCCCTCTGGGTTTCGCACTGAGTGAGGAGGGGGAGGAAGGCCCGGAGAAGCTCAGGCAGGTGCAGGCCCCAACGCCAACGTATCAACAAGGGTCCCCCGGCACACCTCGCCCCATTCCACACATGCCAGCTGCCCCGCGCCCTCCAGCGCCCGGGCCTGGCCTCACCTATGACCGACATCCGCTTCCGGATGTTGTTGAAGTCCAGGATGGCCAGCAGCTGGTAGGTGACGGCTGTGCCCAGCTCATGGACAGTGATGGTCTTGGGGGTGCGAGAGCGGAACACGAAACCGAAGTTCCTGGCTGCAGTGACCAGGGCCCCCTCGTCCGGGGACTGGGCTTTGTAGTACAGCTCCCCTGGGTGGGAGGAAGGACACACGTGGTGTGAGTGGCCACCCTCTCAGCCCCGTGTCCCACCCAGGGAGCCCCGGGGCGGCCGCCGTGCAGAGCAGTCCCCACGCTGAAGGCCCGAGTCGGTAGGCGAGAGCGCAAGCCAGCTCTGCACTCACCTTCGTTCTTTTCCTCTGACATGACAGTATGACACAGGGAGAGGAGGCGGAAGAACTCGTGCACGTGGGGGTCCCCCATCTTAACAGCCTCCAAGAGGGTGGGGTCCCAAAATAAGAACTTCTGGTCGGCCAGAGGATTGAAGGAGAAGTCGACGGGTTCAGGCCTCTGTGGCAGGTAAGGGGGCAATCAGGAAAGGGTGGGTCACCAGGCAGCACCCCAGGAAAGGTGCTGTCCCCACCCTGCTGTTCCCCGCCCTCCAACTCTCAGGAGGAGAGCTCAAGATCCTGCCCGCTGTGGACCTCAAAATCCCCAGCTACCAATTCTTCCTTGAAATACACATTCCTCCACGCAGCTTCCACCTCCTGACGAGGTAACACCTCGCTCCAACTACACCAACTGTTACTGGCCAGGCCCCGTTTAACTGGCAAACAGAATACACAGAACCACTGTGGAGGCTGCACCTACCTCTCCCACTTCAGCTTTGTGTCCCAGGACATCGAACACATCACCTGCACACAGCCAGGACGAGAGCCACATCAGAGCTAGCGTGCCCTCCGAGCAAGGGGAGAAACCTCCAACACCACCCCCGCCCCCCGCAGGCACCCGAAACCCACAACCCGAATTGCTGAGCAAATGTCACACAGATTCACACGCTGACTCAAAGGACAGGTGGCAACAGGCACCCTGGATCCTTGGAACCCCAGGACTAAAGGTCATGGCACCCACTGCTCCCCATCCCGCCCCTGGGGCCCCGCCCCCACCGCTTGCCTCCCGGGGCAGCTCCTGGTTTCCAGCCTTCCCCCAAGGGCTCCCAAGCCTCCCTGGGGTGCCTCTCACCCTTTGGGCCTACACAGCAGACAAGGCCTCACACACTGGCCCTCAGGCCTGAGTTAGTACAGGAAGCAGTTGTAAGAACTCCCTCTGCATAAAAGTCAGACCCCACACACCCTGCCCCAAGCCATCCCAGCAGCTCAGCCACAGGCCCTGCCACAGGGCCACACTGGAAAGACCACGGTCACATTCCAGACTCACAAGGCCCCTGAACAGCAGCACAGGTGAGTCTAGCACTCCACGGGGCAGCCAAGATCCAGGCTGGCCCGGGCGCCCCTGCAAACAGGAACTCCCCCACCGCCTAGAGCCGAGGCCGAGGCCGGGGAGAGGTCAGCAGGCAGGAGGGAAGCCCGGTCAGTGTCTGCTTCCGACATGGGACCCCGAGTGGACCCTTTCAAGGCCCCCCGGGCCCCAGTAGGAAAGAACTAAAGACCCAAATGCCAAGTCAGCTGTGGGAGCCCTGGGACCACTCTCCTTCCGGGCGAGAGGCGAGCCCCGTCCCGGCGGCGCCTACCGTAGCTGCGGCCGTTGACGGAGCACTTGCTGAAGACCATGATGTTCTGGGTGAGGGTGCCCGTCTTGTCGGAGAAGATGTACTCCACCTGGCCCAGCTCCTCGCTCAGGGTGGTGGTGCGGGCCTCCGCGGGCGTCCGCTTCCTCGTGCAGAACATCTTCTTGTCCCAGTTGATGAAGTAGCTGTGGCCCAGGCGAATGACCTCCACACTGCACAGGAGACAGGGGGTGAGGCTGGGTGGGGCAGGGAGGCGCCCCGGCTGGTGACACCTGGGCACGGGCACCTGGGCGGGGCAGGGCGAGGAGAGCCTGGCGGAGGAGCCAGCCACGGACAGCCGGCAAAGGACGTCCCCGACCCGACCCTCTGATGCTCTCCAGACAAAACAGTGCCAAGGGTCCGGGCAGCGGGGCAGACAGCACAGGCAGAGGAGGAAGAGGGGCTGGAGACAAGGCATTCGGCCAGTTCTTACCTCAGGACTAACAATACAGAAACCATGCAGAGAAAACAAGAGAAAGTGCGAGAGGAACGGGAGAGAAAAGAGAGAGAAAAGAGAGAGAGATAATGAGGGTCTGCGCCTGCCACGCAACACACGTGCCACCACAGGGGCCTCAGTGCGGGGGGAGCCAGGAAGGTGCTCGGCCCGCTCCTCAGTGGCCACACGCAGCCGACACTCCTTCCACCCGGCTCGGGGCTCCGAGCCCACCCCGACTCTGTGGCTTTCAGAGAGAACATGAGGCCACGAGACGCTGGCTCCGGAAGGCAGGGGGGACCTCAGAGACCTGGGCAATGCTTTCAGTTCACGGGGCCGTGGTGTTTTCAACATGCCAAGGCCTGCTCGCACCCTCTTCTCGGCTGGCGTTTCCTTTGGGAGGTGGACCATCGGGGTTCTCAGAAAAGGGCCTGTGTGAGGTCCAGTGCAGCCAAGCAAGGGGGCTCCGGCTGGCACCCTGCTTCTGACTCGAGGCTGCTCTCGGGACCCAGTTACTAGGCAAGCGCTGCGCCAGCTGGGAATGCCCTCATGGCCGTTCTCACACTCAGCTGATGAAGCGCCGCCCCGGCCTCCGTTTCCCCCAAACACACACACCGGGAGCTGGATGAGACTCGGAAAGAAAACTCTCTCAGGCAGCTACTGTGGGCCTGAATGCAAACACCGAACAGCAAGGCCCAAAGACGGAAACATAATTAGGCTGGAGGCCAGAAAACCCCTAAGCGAGTCCTGAAGAATAGAGCTACAGTGACAATGACAGACAGGCTACCACCCAATATTTGTAAAGTAACTTAATTTCTCAGCTATTTTCCAGTCCCGTATCTTCTGTCCCGGCATCCCTGTGGAGAAGGTGGACCAGGTACTGTTGTTCCCACTTTACATGAGAAAACAGGCCTCGCGTGACTGTGGATTTACCCGTGTCACGTAACTAAGGAGACAGCAGGACCAAACCACAGGCCCGAGTCTCCTCTTAATGTTGTAGGGGAGCCCTCAGCACAGGAACTCGGTCTCCTACCACTGCCACGGGCACTCGGATTCGGGGGCCGGTGGGGAGATGGGAGGACCATCTGGGAATCTGTATGAACAGAGCTATGGCATATGGGAAGAGTTCTCAGACTCCATAAAGCATTTCCTTAAAAAGGTGCAGGTTCACTTAACTCAAGTGCAAGGCACTAAGTACAAAACTTCTCTCTCGGCCACTCTTCCTTCCTCTTCCTGTTCATTCTCACTGGGCCAGCCCTTGCTAACAGCTCCCTCAGGCATCCCAGACGTCTCCCTGATCCTATTCATGCACACCACTGTCTGCCAACACTTGAAATATGTAGATTTTTTATTTTTAGGAATCCTTTAATGGTTTACTAAGTACAAAGGTCAGAGGCAAAAATTCAAGACCCTCCACAATTGGTAACAAACTCATGTTTCCAGCTGCCTGCCCCACAGCCAAACTGTCCTGTGCCCATCCTAGGCTCCCACCTCTAAGCCCGTGTTTCTAGCCCTCTCCCGCAGGCTATCCTTTCACCCATCCCGGCCACCACTCAAAGCCCAGTTCAACCGCCACCTCTTCAGAGCTGTCCTCCCTGATTAGCTGTGCAGGGAACAATGCATGCCCTGGGCAGCTGTGCCTCCCCACACGGTATCTCAGTGTCTTACGAGGCTTGTCTCTCCCCTCCCCTAACGGTCTGCTGCTGTTGAATGCAGAGGCCATGTTCCATCTCTGCGTCCCCTGGCTGTACACATAAGCCTGTAGGCAGGTCTCCTAAAACACCTGTTCCCGTTTTGTGTTATAACGTGTTCACATCCTTCTTCCTTGCCTAGACTGAAGCGCCTAGAGCGAAGGAGATCCATTCCTACCTCTCCTTTGTATGTGCCACGCACCTAACCTGCTTCTTTGCACCAAGTCAGCATGCAACAAACATGTGACAAATGAGCAACAGTTTCCATCCTATACAGTCTGAAGTGCCAGGGAATGGTGGTGAAATTAGCTCTGCACACAAAGATAAACAAGGAACATAACATGTTCGCAGCAAAGGAAGAGGACGCCACATTCCCGCTCGAGGATTTCACCTTCACAGGTAAGAGAAGCGACAGCCCCAGCTCCCTGGAGAGACCCCAGGCATAGAAAGCAACATACCTGACATAGAGCGATATGGGCACGACGGTGTTGAGGATGATGATGTAGGACCAGAAGGAGAGGAAGCCAGAGAAAAAGGCACTGTCTACCGCCTCGTCCCAGGGCAGGTAGACCTGGAAGCGCATCCCGACCTCGTGCTCCCAAATGGCATTGCCAATGGCCAGGATCACCCCCATGCAGACCAGGAATCCAAAAATCTGGGGAGGAATGAGAAGCAGAGGTGAGGCTGCCGCCGAGGAAGCCCCCAAAATCAAGTGCGTCCCAGAAGGCCGTCACTCAGACCTGATCCTGCAAAAGCGCAGGCATGTTTTTTTGGTTAATCCTCACCGGAGGATAGTTTTCCACTGATTTTTAGGGAGAGTGGAAGAGAGAGGGAAAGACAGAGAGAAACATCGATGTGAGAGAAACACAACCGATTGGTTGCCTCCTGCACGCACTCCAACCAGGGCCTGGGCCGGGGAAGAGCCTGCAAACGAGGTACGTGCCCTTGATCGGAATCGAACCCGGGACCCTTCAGTAGCAGGCCAATGCTCTATCCACTGAGCTAAACCAGCCAGGGCCAGGCATCTTTAAAATGGTGGCACATGCCAGTGGGAAGCACCCAGAAGTGGCGACAGGTTCTAGTCTGCCACCCACATCACATGGCCTCCTCTCTGAACATTTCCCATCTGTCTGATGGGGAACCGAAATAGCTGTGCAGCTCCCCATCTGACACCCAGAACCCTAAGAGACCTCAAAGATGATAAAAGTGGGAAGCATTTGAGATCTTACTTCCTGATATGTCCACAATGTTGCTCAAATAAACTCTCATAAAAATTTTCCACAGGCTTTTATAAGAAGGAAAAGGGGATGAAAGAGGGGGAAAGCTGCTGTCAAAACTTCAGAAGAAACTTACTGGAAATCACCCATTTACTTGAGCTAAGCCTCCATACGCCAACAACGATGCCAAATTCCTGTCGTGCTCCTTATCTCACACAGATTGACCCCTGCCCCGCATTTTTAAAATATGTTTTTATTCATTTCAGAGCGGAAGGGAGAGGCAGAGAGAAAGAAACATCAATGATGAGAGAGAATCACTGATCGGCTGCCTCCTGCACGCCCCACACTGAGGATCCAAGCCCGCAACCCGGGCATGTGCCCTGACAGGGAATGGAACTGTGACCTCCTGATTCACAGGACGACGCTCAACCACTGAGCCATGCCAGCCGGGCATCCCCCGTTTTTTAAAACCAGGAAACAAATTGCATTTTCAGAAATGTAGATTTCTCGATAGCCAAAAATCTTATAAAACTTGCAGTCCTTGAAGAAGAATCCTAAGAGAATTTTGGAAGTTAAAAGAAAAAACATTGAGACCATTGTCTGATTTCAGACATCCATTTGCCAAGCTGTCTTCACTTTTTTTTGGTGGTGGTTCATTCTCAACCGAGGATATTTTTCCCACAGATTGTGAGAGAGAGAGAGAGAGTGGGAGGGAGGGTATAGAGAGGGAGAGAGAAACATCAATGTGAGAGAGACACATTGATTGGTTGCCTCCCACACGTGCCCAACTGACCGGGCCTGGATACTGAACCTGAAACCCAAGTGCATGCCCTTGACTGGGAATCAAACCTGCAACCCTTGGTGCTTGGGCCAAAGCTCTAACCATTTTACCCCACCGGCCAGGGCTGCCTTCACTCCCGATGCTTTGAACAAAACAGGAACCATCCTGGTACCCAAGAGCCACCAGGGGGCGATGCAAGCCTCTGCATGAGAGCCTTAAGAAGACCCTGACAAGGAGCTCAAATTTCTAGGCAACAAGAGAAGGATTCGGGAATTGCCAAGAACTGAAATAGAAACTTTTCCTTCCAGATCCTTCACTCTGGAAAGGCAGGGGAAGAGCCCCCATTAGACCCCGTTCTCCATCCTCCAAATGGAAATTTTTCTTTTCATTCCTTCTCCATCCCCATGAAGGCCTCCTTGTCCCAGGCAAAAGCAAACAGAAGGTCACATGCTACACTAAGTCATCATCATAACTGGAATCCAGAGAAAGGAAGACTTGTTTCAGCTTTAAGTTGTTGATTCATACACGTTTTTTAAAATAATATCTGCCGAGTCTAAAAGGAACCTGAAATAAACACTGCCTTTGAGTGGCTGACCTGCCAGTGGCTTTAAAGCCAAAACCTGAAGCTTGGCTACCGACCAGGGAGGAGAGATGGGAGCAGAGGGAGGACCAGGAGGGCACGGCAGGGACCGTGAGTGGGGACTTACCCAAAGCACCAGAGTATTCATTAGGCGATCGATGCTTGTTCTCTTGAATTTCGTCCTGCCGCTGTTCTGCATCAGCTTAGTATCCGGACCTGCAGAGGAAGAGGAAGGGCTAGGGAAGCCGAATACGGAACCTGCCTCTGGGCTCCGGCCCAGTCCCCAGACTACAGGACATCGGCGTGGAAGGGAGACACAGGCTGGATGGCCAGGGGGCCTGTCTTCAGGGCTGCAGGGTGTCCACCTTATTCATGGAGCCAGCGCCCTCAGCTTCCTGCCAGCCTCTGAGGCGGCTCTCGCCTGGCTTTCTCTGCGCCCGGAGGCCCACCTGCGAAGATGACCAGCCCGAAGCACCACTCTGTGTTCCGCAGCACGCAGCCCCGCAGCAGCATGTTCTGGTTGCTCAGGGGGAACTTGTTCTCCTTCCAGTAGAGCGTTCCACTGAATTTGTCCAGCTTGTTGTTGGGAGGTTCGCAGATCACCTCACCTGAACGGAAGACAAGAGCGCCACCGCTCAAGGTGCCATCTGTGGCTCGACCACGAGACAACAAAATAGAGGAAGCAGCGGAGGGAGAGGGTGTGAGGACCTGGGCCCATCCAGACACTGCTGGTCACTGTGAGCTGATGGGAAAGGAATGGGGCCACGTGAACTAATATTAAGAGTACACACACCCTTGGGCTCCTCCGTAATCCCACTTGGGGACTCTGTTCTACAGAAATAAGGGCACGGGTCACAATTTGTATTGAAGCATTATTTGAACAGAAAGACTAGACACAACCAAAGGGTCAGTGAATAGCTGAGTAAATTATGATACATCAATTCTATGTAACAATATGCAGCGATTGAAAATGAAGTAAATTTCTTTCTATAGTGATGTGGTAAGATAATGATGATGAAATTAATAGGTACAGGCAGGTTGCAGGGATTTGGGGACAGTATGATCCCACCGATTTATGTTTGTTTATAAACGGGAAAAAAGTATGAACGAAAACACATTCAAGTGCCTGTTAAGCTGACTATTTAGGAAGGTAGAACTAGAGGACAAGAGAGCTTTTTCCCGTGCATGCTGCTCAGTTTGTCTTGTTAAAGGAGTGTATAGCACACTGTTCTGAATTGAATAATAATTAAAAGTTGAAATTCTATCAATATGCACAGCCAGGAGGGAGTTATCACCCATGAAGATCTCTTGAAATGACCATTAATTAAAAAGTAAGTGGTAGTGCCCGACGGGAGTGGCTCAGTGATTGAGCATCAACCTATGAAGCAGGAGGTCATGGTTTGATCCCCTTCAGGGCACATGGCTGGGTTTCGGGCTCAGTCCCTAATAGGATGCATTCAGGAGGCAGCCGATTAATATTCTATCTCATCATTGATA